TTTTCAGTGTTCCTGTTGCGCAATCTTTGGTTTTCTGTATGGTATTTTTTTTACTATTCTATATCTTATTTTCCTTTTAGCTATGGAGTTTTCGGTTTAATACGATCCTTGGTTTTTGAATGTCATCTTGGTATTACACGTACATAAATTAGACCGTTAGTTTTCTCGTTTTAATTGTTTACATTTGTCATTTCGAGGCCTTTTATAGCTGACTATGCGGTATGGATTTTGCTCATTGTTGAAGTCCATACGGTGACCTATAGTTGTTAATTTCTATGGCATTTGGTCTCTTGTGGAGAGTTGTCTCATTGGCAATCGTGCCACATCTTCTTATTTTAATAAATACTAATATTTAGAATAAAATACGATACGATAACAAATGTTGAAAAGGTAAAACTAACATTTTTATTGCGTTGAACCGGTCCATAAGGAAAGACTTATTGATATATAACCAAATTCAGACACGATAAAATTGTTTTTATTGCTTCATATCTATAGGTCAGGACAACCTTGTTGTTATTTATTAAAACACGCCCCTAAAAAGGTTTTTTTTTCTATTTGTTATTTTCCGGAATGGAAAACGAAATTGTGAAGAAACACATCTTTGAGAGTTTGTAATACTGTCCGCATGACTGTTATCTTAAATAGGGATAACATTATATTTTTGTATTGTTTTTAGTGATATTGAATGAAGTCTCAACTTATACCTGTATGCAAGGACTAATGGCCAAATACAGATATTTCTGTTGTGTTGAATATTGTTATTATTATCGAAAGAAACTCTTACATAAAAACAATAAAATAAGGAGATGTGGTATGATTGCCAATGAGACAACTATACACTAAAGTTCAAATGAAGTGGATGTAAGCAATTATATGCCTTCAATAATGAGAAAAACCCGTACCGTAAAGTCGGCTATTGAAGGCCCCGATATTAAAAATATGAAACAGTTCAATTCAGAAAACTAACGGCCTAAATTATTATAACAAAACTATTAACATGACTATTATTTTACATATTATCGTTAACAGATAAAAGCGATCGTAGTACCTATTCGAATGGACAGTATTTCTCAAGGTATTATTAATCAAAGCCACTTAGTTTAAACTTTGGACGATTAAGATTGATGGATGGAAGGCTGTTTATCGTCTAGTGGTAAATAAGATTAATATTCAGGACGAGAAGAAGTTAATCCGATATGAGTATGAACCCCACTTTGTACTAGACCGATTCGCTGAGCCGTATTTTAACGTGCTAGTTCCCAAGGTCCACATGAACATATGAAGACATGCTACCCGACTCGGACACATTATTCGGACTTCAAGCCGACCTGTCCTCGTAAATTGAAGTATAAATAGAATATCGGAAAAATTTTCACAGTAGCGCATACCATTGAACAACTGCCAAACTCTTGTAAAGATTGTATGGGCATCGACAGGGAATTATCTCAAAATATCGATTCAGGACACTATATTATTCGTTTAAAGGAGAAAGAAGATATCAAGGAGTAAATCAAAACACTCTTGACTAGTCGAAATAAACAGTAATACCAATGCCGAAAGGAAAAGCCGCGAAAGATAAAAAAAAAAAGTACACAAAATAGTACACAGAACAAAAAACTGACCCCCACCCCCTAAAACACGAACAAAACATGTATGGAATCATAAACATGTAATGTAACAATCATACCCACAACAAACATTCCTACTAGTACTGGTTACCAAATACATTCGGACATAATTAAAGAAAGAAAAACTCAAAGATATTATCGCTAAATCCATTGGATGTGTACTGATTGATTTTCTAGTCTGTGAAACATGATTTATTATTAAATGGGATTGACTTTGAACCAGGTTTCAGTAACTGCGCGGGATCGGTAATTTGTGTATTTAGATTTTTGTTACTAGTTTTTTTTGGGGCTTTGATTCGTTCTAATGAGTCAAGCCTTTTTCAAATGATTTTTACAGTTTGTTCTTATTTCGGACTGTTACACCGCTATTCAAGGTTAGGAGAGGGTTGAGCGCTCTCAAACATGTGTAACCCCGCAAAACTGTTTGCATGTAACTGCCTTAAGTCGAGAGCTTTTATTTCAGTTGGTCACGTTGGTTGTTGTATGTCTGTCATATTTGCATAAATCAGACCGATGATTTCATGTTGGGGCCACTTATAGCTTACTATACGGTGTGCTTTTGTACATTGTTAAAAGTTGGACGGTGAAATATAGTTGCTTACATCTACGTCATTTGATCTCATTAACATTAACATTAACATTAACATTAACATTAACATTAACATTAACATTCACCGAATAATGTGTGTTTTTCGCGAAGGAAAATTAAACCACATGCAAGCTTTACACCTGGAGGAAATATATGACTAGATTGACGTAAATGTGGCTTAGTCAATGACTGTGGCCCAAAAAAAAACACATGTTAACCCAAATGGTCATATAAACAATCTATGTTAAATCAAAATCCAATACACAACTATTCCTCGCCGATAAAAGAAGGGTACACAGATTAAATAGGAAAGAAATCAAAAACGAATGTTTGGACACAATAAACCTCCATTAAAATTAGTGGTCGATATCCCCTCAACCGAAAATGGTAAGAACTAGTCCCTAATGTTTCGTTTAGGATATCCTTTGGATTTGCACATTGTCAGCGAAATGCTTTTTATTTGGTAGCGAATTCAATGTTTTTTGCGCGTGTTCAACAAAAGCCGTTGTATTGGTGCGCAGTCAGTGAAATCTGTTGTACTGGTGCTCTTTAGCGGAATCCATTGTATTAGTGCGCGGTTATCGAAAGGACAAGGTACGATAAGCATCAGAGAACGGCCACCAATTTTCGTTTAATTTAAAAATGACATGCCATAAATTATAATACTATATTTTTACAGTTTAAAACCTATATTTTTGTAAACATCAATAGATTCGATAACTTCCGCTGATTTAATTCATGTTTCGTAGCAGTATAGCCCTTAATATTCGCAAAAAGCGTAGAAAAATCGCATTTTCCAAACGTTTGTCTGCATTTTAAACTATGAGCGTATCTACGGCCCACGATCATATTCATACCCCACATTCCATGAATACAAATGTTGATGCAGTTCAAATATCTTAGTGGGCCGTAGGTACTCTCATAGTTAAAAATTAAAAAAAGGTTAAAAAAAAATCGTCGTAGTTTTCATTTAATCATTAATTTGAAATATTAAATTGAACTGCGGACCGGAAATGATTTCCGGTGAGCATATATTCACTAGATCCGACGACAGACTTTTCTTTGTGCTATAATGGCTAGTTGTTTTGTGTCTTAAATTTGACATCTATGAAAAAGGAACACAGGATAATCCTGTATTTATAATTCCATGAATTCAAAGTGAGATTTAAGCAGACCGTCGAGTTCTGACACAAAAACAAAAAGGAACTGTGACAAATTTCAGAGAAATTTTGGGAATATTTAAAAATGAAACCAAAGTTAAAAAATAATTGGTTCATACTCAAACATTTCTTACTTGACACAGACGTTAATCGTGGATCGGCGTGTCGAAGCATAAATACGTTTTTTATAACGTAAAACAATTTTAATATAAATTCTATACCCAACAGATCGATCTTGGTGTCAACATTAAATAATAGTACAATTTTCGTTGAAATGTAACCTACGTGGAATAAAATCTCCGTTGACGCTTTTGTGAAGAGTGCTTTCTTTCACGTCTGCATTTTTTATCAAGTATATATAATATGGCATGCCAAGTTGGCCGTGATTTTAGACAATTATTATGGATGGCGAAAATAAATTACAGAACTGTGAACAATAACATAAATTGTAATTCAAACGATATAAGTAGACTCAATGTGACAATTTCAATTATACAATTATGTAAGTGTAACAGTAATAAAGATCAAACAAAACAGTTACTATCCAACACTATGATGTATCTTCGGTTACTTTTGTCATGTATTAGACTAATGATTTGCAATTGCCCCCACACCCCCGCCCCCTCTTTTTCAACGACAACGCGTGCAACTTCGTATTTCATGTTTAAAAAATATTTTCTACATAACCCTCTGTCATAAACGTGCATGAAGTATTTGCCACTGGACAGTCAGAAACAACATTCAATCAAACATATCTCCTCTTATAAAGATATAAACATAATTAAATTAATAAAAGATTCGTTTAATTTTTTTATCATATATATTTACACGTCAAATATAGAATATTATTAAAGAAAAAAACCTCATCATAGTCAAAGATATTGTGATTGTAATTTTGTACGCCAGACGCGTGTTTCGTCTACAAAAAACTCATCAGTGACGGACGAATAAAAAAAGCCAAAGGACCATAAAAGAATCAAAATTCCGAAACGAATGCCAAATACAGCTAAGGTTATCTATTCCTTAATAGAACAGTTAATTTATAAATATGACCCTATCAATGATAGACCATGCTAGCACAGAAGTCAGCTTACTACTTGACATGGTGTTACTGAATGGGTTGTTTGTCTCATGATTTTTAATATGCTAGCTCACAAGGTTAAACAGATCGCAGGAAGATATATCACCCTACCTGGACACTATATATTCTGACTCCTGTATTTGCGAGCGGTCAACGAAAAAATAACTTTGAATTGGTGCGTGGTCCTCGGCGGAAATGCGTATAATTAAATCTAAATAACAACTTTGAACAAAAAACATATATGTTTTCAGAAAATTCACTGTTAGGAAACTAAAATCATTGCAAGTCAAAAGGGTTGCGTTCGAATGTTTGTGTTGTCTATCTAGAGATGTAAATCACAGTATGAACTGGCCAAAAAAAAAAAAAATAAGTAGAACAATAAAATTCAATATTAATGACATCTCTTTAAAAAACTCGGTTTTATTCAACTCAATAATGAAAACCGTTATTTACAAAACAACGACCGGACACATTTTAATATAAGGAATAAGGAAACAAGTTTTATCAGTTTTAACAAGAAAATCGTCTACCTTTGTTTATTAATAATATAAACGTCAGTGTTAAATTCTGCTTGTAACATCTTACTCATATATACAAAACGTAAGTTTTTATTGAACCTCAAATTATAATCTTGACTGTAAGTTTTAATTTTATAATTTCATTAACTATTCATACTTTGTGTATTAAAAAATAGGACTGAACTCAGATATAAATGCTTTTTTTGTTGTATGGTCATTATTACAAAGATACATTTCGTTGAACTTTTGATATGAAAAAAGTCCGAGATGTTGGGATTACGCCAAGGAGACAGCAACCCAACAAAATTAAATTAAAGTTAAAGTAATCATTTATAGAAATGACATCGAGAGTTCAGTGATACTGTCTTTTGCAATTGATAAGTGTCTCTACATTCAATTAAGCTCTATATCGAGTTACATGTAAGACAGTTGAAATTAAATTCAATTTGATTTTTGGAGTCGAGCGTCACTGATGAGAATTTTGTAGACGAAACGAGAGTCTTACGTACACAATTTTGAATATTGGTATCTATTGGTATCTGTGATGAGTTTATCTATTGATCAGGGCACCTGATCATAACCTCAGCTTTTGTTTGGGTTCTTGTTGATCAATCTTGTGTTGGCTGTGTAATACATAATGGCCTGTTTTCTACTCTTTGTTCGGTTTGTTGTATGTTTGACACATTCCCCTTTTCCATTCTCTAATCTATAAACAAGTTAACAGGGATCGCAAAACAATACCACACAGTCAATATAAAAGACCACATAAACCAACAAAATCTGATTCCTTAATCCCCGCCTCCCCCCCCCCCCCCCCCCAAAAAAAAATACAAATAAAGACAATCAACAACGAATATTGTGTATTGTTGCTTTCTGTTAGCCATTGTGTTGTTATGAGCCATTGTTTTTTAATTAGTTATTGTGTTGTTATAAGAAATTGTGTTGTTATGAGTTATTGTGTTGTTATTAGTTAGTTGGTGTAAGTAGTCATTGCACCTGTCATAAAGCAGGAATCTGATTACAGTAGTTGTCGTCTGTTTATGTAATGCATACGTGTTTCTCGTTTCTCGTTTTTATATAGATTAGACCGTTGGTTTTTCCGTTTGAATGGTTTTACACTATTAATTTAATTTTTGGGGCCCTTTATAGCTTGCTGTTCGGTGTGAGCAAATGTTCCGTGTTGAAGGCCGTACCTTGACCTATAATGGTTTACTTTTATAAATTGTAACTTGGATGGAGAGTTGTCTCATTGGCACTCATACCACATCTTCCTATATCTATTGTGGTGTTATTATTAATTGTGGTGTTATAATTTTTTGTGTTAGTATGAGCCATTGTGTTATTAGTCATTGTGTTGTTATTAGTCATTGTGTTATTAGTCAATGTGTTGTTATTAGTCATTGTGTTATTAGTCATTGTGGTGTTATAAGTCTTTGTTTTTATTAGACATTGTTGTGTTATTGGTCATTGTGTTGTTAGGAGTCACTGTGTTGTTTTAAGTTATTTTGTTGGTATAACTCATTGTGGTGTTATTAGTCATTGTCGTATTATTAGTCATTGTGGTGTTAGTTGTCATTGTGGTATTATGAATCATTGGGGTGTTAGTAGTCATTGTGGTATTATTAATCATTGGGGTGTTAGTAGTCAATGTGTTGTTACTAGTCATTGGGGTGTTAGTAGTCATTGTGATGTTATTAATCATTGGGGTGTTAATAGTCATTGTCGTACTATTAATCATTAGGGTGTTAGTAGTCAATGTGTTGTTACTAGTCATTGGGGTGTTAGTAGTCATTGTGGTGTTATTAGTCATTGGGGTGTTAGTATTCATTGTCGTACTATTAATCATTGGGGTGTTAGTAGTCAATGTGTTGTTATAATTAATTGTGTTGTTAATAGGCGTTGTGGTGTTATTAGTCATTGGGGTGTTAGTAGTCATTGTGGTGTTATTAGTCATTGGGGTGTAAGTATCCATTGTCGTACTATTAATCATTGGGGTGTTAGTAGTCAATGTGTTGTTATAATTAATTGTGTTGTTAATAGTCATTATTGTGTTAGTAGTTATTGTGTTGTTAGTAGTTATTGTTTTGTTATTAGTCAGTGTGTTGTTTTTAGTCACTGTGTTCTTTTTAGTTATTGTGTTGATGTTAGACATTATGTTATTATTAGTCACTCTGTTGTTATTAGGAATTGTGTTGTTTTAAGTCACTGTGTTGTTATTAGTCTTTTTGAAATTTGATTTTGATTTCCTCCTTTGCACTTTCTCACAATACTACCAAAGAACTGCCACTAAATTCTTTAAAAGACTTGAAAAAATTAAAAAAAAAGTGACGTCAATTTTTTTGGCTTTGTTTTGTTCTGATTTTTGTTGTTTTGTTCCTTAGTTGGCTTTCTTAGATGCGTTGTGTTGTTGTTGTTTTTGTTTTTGTTGTCGATTTTGTTTTTGATGTTTTGTTAGTTATTTAGCAAAGGAAAGTGGTTGTCCTGTGTGAGTAATGATTTTGTGTCATGCATTGACACGGAACTATTTCTCTTTCCTTAAGATTTATGTGAGAAAATTTATATTCAGATTCCTAACTAGGAACAGGCACATTGATAACAGTTTATGTTCAGTTTTGGCTCCCCCCCCCCCCCCCCCCCCCCCCCCCCCCTAGCTGACAATTTTTATACACAGGTCTGGTCTGGAATCTGAATATAAATTTTCTCACATAAATCTTAAGGAAAGAGAAATAGTTCCGTGTCAATGCATGACACAAAATCATTACTCACACAGGACAACCACTTTCCTTTGCTAAATAACTAACAAAACATCAAAAACAAAATCGTATTATAACTGTAAAATATAAAGACATACACCACAAGCACGGGGACACATTCTACAGCATCTACACAGCATGAGCAACAAACCCTGCAATCAATATAAAAAGAAGAAATATAGCACTTAAACTAATAGACTTAGTGTTGTCTGAGTGTTAATTTTTATGTTAAAGCAATGTGTGTATTTAAAAAGATCACCACGCTGACATATATAATATTAATGCAATATATTTCATCATAAACGCCTTGCTTTATCAATAAAACAAATAGATAGCTACCATTCAGATATTGAATGCTGATTATTTAAGTACGTCCTTCCCTGTCCGGCCATCTGTTTGAATGTACATTATCAGTCCGTGGGAAAGTATATAGTTTGCTTTTATAAATGGTATTACTTAAGGTAAGATTATGTCTCCAAAAGCTTTTTTATTTTGTGCACTCTGATTAAAATCATACCTCTCATATTTATTCATAAGTCGCAACATATCAGAAAAATGGGAGTGATGAGAGGTTTGATTTTAATCAGACTGTATTTTGACCGTTGATTTTCCTGTTTGAATGCTTTTACACTAGTAATTTTTGGGGCCCTTTATAGCTTGCTGTTCGTTGGGAGTCAAGGCTCCGTGTTGAAGGCCGTTCTTTGACCTATAATGGTTTACTTTTTACAAATTGTGACTTGGAAGGAGAGTTGTCTGATTGGCACTCATACCGCATATTCTTAGATCTATATATGGTGTATTTCTGGTTGTAAATGTTGATAAAAGACAATGGAAGAATCTGAACAGCTATAGTCTTTATCATTGATGGAATAAGAACTGTTGATTCATGGGCATCTGTGCTCTTCTTCGGTCATGTAGATTCACAAAGCCTAAAACTTGACTAAATGTGAAAATTTGTAAAAACATGATTTTCATGGACAAAAGATAGACCAAAAAAAATCTACTATACCTGCAAAAACTAAACGACCATTGCAAAAGAAAAAAGACACAAAATGCAATCGTTAACCTAAAACAAAAGAAACACGTACCGTTTTATTCAAAACTAGGTGTGAACTAAGGTGTTATGGAAAAAGTTCCATGCTCCATTAGAGGCAATCCTTGTGTCTGTCACGCAGAGATTATTAGCAACGCCCTATTAAAGAAACCATGATTGGGAACACAGGCTCAGGAATATTGTTTCAATTTAAATGATACATGCTAGTGCTGCTTAAATAATACTCCATATACTAGTAAGTGAAAACCATTTACAATCAGCAGAATAAAAACGGCTACCAACTAGAATCATTTAAAAAGAAAGAGAATATAGATATTGGTATTACAGAGGATAATAACATTGGTAACATCACATCGAAACTAAATAATATCATATTAAAGAATGATGATTGGAAACAGAAAAAGAAAACGATGAAATATAAAATATAAGATGTTTTACCATTATGGTAATGGCCAATGTACCTCCAAGTAGATTATAAATAACGAAATCATACCCAATGAAACAATATACAATGTCTAATGCCCAAAGGTAAATCAGTATATGGAATGTCATATTGCAAAAAAGTACACACATGTTTTATTATGCTTCAAATTGTAAATAAGCTAATCGACATTAATAAAAAAGATAAACGACGCAATGGTTTTACCTCAACAAAATAAATACAACATTTAGCAATATCTCTGTTGTTGCTTTACATAAAACTTCAATAGACCCGAACCCCTTATGTCATCAGCTTTTTTTTAATATTATGCTAAATATCTGGCAGCTTAATATCCACGCTATTATCAATCTCGTCCCCCACCCAGAGCTGACGCCACTCTACTTTATGTTCATCCGTATCCATTTTGTGTTACTATCTATTTTGCTTAGTATGGTGAAATGTTCAGAATGTATCTAATTTATTTCCTCGCTTTTTTAAACAATGAATACTACATGTAGTATCACAATTTGACATAAGTAAGTATAATTCGCAAATTTGACAACTATCAGCAATGTACTTCCTGTTGCAAGATAACATTTTATTTAAGTACATATATATATTTACACAATGGGTTACTTTTGTAGAGGACAATATTTATTTAGCTTATAGATAGACTAAGAATGTATTGAAAAGTAGATTTTATACGTTCAGAGGTATACATCCTGGTCCTTTGAAATTAAAAAAGAACAAATCAAGTTTGTTTTCCCTTTTCACGTTTGACTGAATTTTTAACGTGCCGTTATTTCCATGGACCAGGTTGAAGTACTTTGATAAAGCAGAGTCCAACTTTGCACTCGTTTGCTTGACAACGGGGGAAATATTCTTGATAATAAAAGAGAATTGTTGTGACCTTCCCCCACCCCCACAAAAAAATACATTAGATTAGGAAACCCTGTATAAAAAAAAGAAGAAAAATAGGCAGACCTTTCAAGAAAACATGTGAAACCATTGGTTTCTCTTTAAAAATGTTCGCTCCTCTTTTTAAAAATAACTACCTTTTTAATCGACTGTTATAAATTGATAGTATATAAATAACTGAACTTAAGAAGCAGAAAAAAATGATAGGTCCGTGATTTTGTTTTTGAGATATAATCAATTGAAAATTTGGCGGGAATTGATTCTCTCTAGATTTTTCATACATTTAACATTGGCACCTTTTTTCTTTCAAACACTATGAAAAAATAACAAGGATTTTATAAGATTTTCATAAATGACTAGTTAAACTATATGTAATAAAAATATGAACAGAAAAGTAAGGGTTAGTGGGAATTTTTTTCATTGGTACTACATGGATAAAACTAGAGGATTCCGAATATTTGACAAAAAGTCAAAAACAAGAGGAGCGAACATCCTTAAAGCAATCATCACAACAGAGGACAGAAGCACTTAGTTTTTAATTATTCATATGTTTCTCTATGATGTTGATATAATCATTTTAAAAGTTGTTTTTTTTTTTGTTTTTTTTTTTTTGGTGTGTTTTACTATTTAGATATCGAATGCTGATTATAAAATTACGTCCTTCCTGTTCGGCCATCTGTTTGAATGGGAAAGAATTTAGTGTAAGCTTTTAAATAGTATTTTCTTGGTATTAATGATTTGTCACAAAGATTGACTTATACTATAAGTTACAATAATGATATTTGGTACACAGAAAATATTATGAGCCTTAAAAGCATGGGAAAAAATAGTATTAAAAAACTGCTTTGATATGATAGAATTGCTAAATGATTCCTGGTTTCGTTGGTGATAGAGTTTTTGAAATATTTCTTAAGACGCTGTAACAATGTTGTAGGTTTCGGTTGCATTAGGGGAGGACCATTTGATTTACTGCGGAGGGAAGGGGAAGAAGGATCTTGAAACTGAAGAACTTAGCCTGGAAAAACTGAAAATAAATAACTGTACAAAAGACAAGATGAAAATAAATATAGTCTGCAATAAGCATGCGATGAAACAAAGAAAAATAAAGATCAATCCGAAAAAAAAACCCTTCCTGCCCCCTCCCAAGAATAACAAATGGTCGTCCACTTATCGTTTGATAATGTTAACAATTGTATATAATGTTAGACATATACACATTTTACAATTAATTACACGTCTTTATTATTGTATCTTATACATGTATAGAGAAATTTGAAGAAATATGACGGGGACGGATTCAAACAACCTTAAGATGCGGGAACATTTTATGCAATTATAAGATGTGGTATGATTGACTACGTGACAACTATCCACCTGAAACAAGAAATAGATCATAATAAAATGTAAATGTAGATAGCTCTCTCACACATAAAACATTCATAACTGTAAAATATAAAGACATACACCACAAGCACGGGGACACATTCTACAGCATCTACACAGCATGAGCAACAAACCCTGCAATCAATATAAAAAGAAGAAATATAGCGCTTAAACTTATAGACTTAGTGTTGTCTGAGTGTTAATTTTTATGTTAAAGCAATATATGTGTATTGAAAAAGATCACCACGCTGACATATATAATATTAATGCAATATATTTCAACGCCTTGCTCTATCAATAAAACAAATAGATAGCTACCATTCAGATATCGAATGCTGATTATTTAAGTACGTCCTTCCCTGTCCGGCCATCTGTTTGAATGTTCATGTTCAGTCCGTGGGAAGTATATAGTTTGCTTTTATAAATAGTATTACTTGAGGTAAGATTATGTCTCCAAAAGCTTTTTTATTTTGTGCACTCTGATTAAAATCATACCTCTCATGTTTATTCATAAGTCGCAACATATCAGAAAAATGCATCGAAAATTGGGAGTGATGAGAGGTTTGATTTTAATCAGACTGTATTTTGACCGTTGGTTTTTTTGTTTGAATGGTTTTACACCAGTCATTTAGGGATGATAGGGAACATAGGCTCAGGAATATTGTTTCAATTTAAATGATACATGCTAGTGCTGCATAAATAATACTCCATATACTAGTCAATGAAAACCATTTACCCGAAAATTTTACCAAATGTGAAAGTTTGTATTTTCGAAATCTTCCGAGACATTATTGATGTAAATCTTTGGCATTATATGCATTGGAATCTAAAAAGAGCTGTAGGTGTGGGGGTACCGCAATGTTAGATGAACAAACGTAAGGACACCAGTAAGTCCTAATCCTGTGTCGCTACACGGACGGGACACAAAGGTTAAGATTAAACGAAAACCAACATTCAAAAAACGCAAAAATGTCAATGCTCGTTTTTTTACGGAAATGCATAAGTTTCATGCCATCTTTTAAATACCAGGAATTTAAAATAATTTGCGTTTTTTTTCTTCTTCTTCAGGTTTACTATATCGATTCAATCATGTGTCAGACAACAGCAATTGTGTTATCTTTTGTTTTGATGTTTCAGTGTGGTGAGTATATAATATGTTTCTAAAACGCTTATGCTTCCTAATTAGAATGCTGATGGAATTACAAGGATATGGTATTCATTAATTCATTTCACAAAGTGCCTGTCTATTTCTTTCTTTCGAATGCTGTCTCATAATTCTTTGTTAATTGTTATATTTGTTTTTTACGTACTAAGAAGTCGATTCGGCTCCTCGCCATTCTTTACATAACTACATGTATCGTATTGAAATCTATCATATCTCATCACTCTCCATTGTATTTCAGTGTCTTGTACGACAACTGGGACTGCCCAAGTCACAAATTCTACTGCCCAATCACCGGGAGCTGGAAGCACAACGAAGAGTACAGCGGGTATTACATCAATATTGCCGGCAAGCACACCAGCACCAAATATGAGTACACCTATAACGACAACGGGAAATTCAGCAAACCAAATTACCTGTGGAAGTAAACTAGTTTTCACGACAATCATCACATGTTTAATGGTTTCCAGAAGCATCCAACTGTTTTAATCGTTTTTACTATTACGTTGTGTCTTACAAGATGCTTAAACCATTGCCATGACTGTCCTTAACTAAGTTGTTCACTTTGTAATTTAACTATTTAATGTAGGTTTTAAAAATCTATCACAGAAGAACATGCTTTATACTGATAGAATAACAAAATGCTTCTGGAAAAAAAACAAGCCTACGTATGATACACCTACTATGTGTTTATGACCAGCCTACGTACGATACACTTACTCTCTATTTATTACATATATCACTTGTTAACGGATACGAAGCAATATCATCCGCTTTTTTTAATTTTAATTTTAGTGTTTATTTTTGTCTTTTTTACTATCTATAACTCTTACTCAACATATTATTCTTGAACAATGATATAAACTATAAGGCAGTTACACAACAACGTATTGTATAATTATTCTTGTTTTGCTGTTTGAATTATTGAAGTTCAAAAGACTTTTAAATGGTAAAGGCATAGTATGAGGTCATTATTTAAATTCAAATTCTAAGTGGAAAGTATTGTACTGTCGGGGGGGGGGGGGGGGTTGAGCTGCCTACGACAGACCACGCTGACTTTGATTTAGATAGTTACCTCACACTGTACATTGTTATACGACCATCTATTGCACGTTAGGCAATAGTAGTGTGTAACTTAATATCTATTTATATATTCGAATTCATGGAAGTTTGAAATAAATGATACGTCTCAAAAAGATCCAACTACTATCAATCCAATGACCCGATGAGTGTTTATAATTCTATTGATATAATATTTTTTTGAATAGTCAAATAAAGCTGACAGCCTGTGTTCTTATTATAATGCATTCTAACTGAAGGCATACACTTCATTCTTTATACGGTATGTATATCTTCAATGAGCACAATATAAAAAAAGAAGATCTGGTATGATTGCAAATTAGACAACTTTCACCACAGACCAAATGACATAGGATTTAGCAACTCTAGGTCACCGTACGGTCTTGAACAATGAACAAGCTCCATTGTGCATAGCAAGCTATATTAAGCCCAGACCGGACAGATGTAGAATAATTCTAACGAGAAAACTAAAATGTCCATTTGAGAATTTAGTGTAGATGACAGATCATTATCTGTAAATCATCTTTAGATGTTTTTTTTGTTGTTGTTTGATTGCTGTCTCATTGACGTATTCCAAATACATCTCCTTTTATTACTTACATTTAATGTTGTTTTCTATCTCACTCTTGTGTTGTCATTTTTGCATTTACTTGATGTAAAAAAATCTAAGCATAAGATATGTTTTACTTTGTATTAATTAAACATTGATTAAAAAAAGTCTCTCACCATTTTTCCTAATACATGTATATATTTTCTAAATCAGTAGGGGTGCATTGCATTTGCGCCATTTAAAAAAAATAACAGTATTTCATTTGCGCCACAGGGTTGTATTTCATCTGCGCAAAAAATAAATGCTTATGAGTCACTTTACAGAAGCTTTTGAATATAAATTGTATCCTGAATACGAGGCTCGTATAAAAAATGTTATAGAGTATATCCTGACATATATCATAAAATATGGTTTGTGGCGCAAAAGAAAGATTTTTTTGGCGCAAATGAAATGCCAATTGAAAGCACCGATCAGTAGTGCGTGCTTCTTAAAATTGTTATTAGTATATTGTTTTAGTTAGAACAAACAAGGAGTACCGGTTGGTTAGCGACAGAATCTTTGCTATAGACAGATATTGTAATATTTCCTCCATGCAGTGGAAATATTACTCCAGATTTTTTTTTCCATTTGGAACTTGTATTATGTATTTATTATAAAAGAATTTCTATTTCAGTACACACCAAATGAAACGGTAGGTAGGATCCGATAGTATCTCTAGGCATCTAGTGTTCCTATACCTAAAACTATTATTTATAAAAACTAGAGCGGATAATTCTTATAAATAGTAGACGATAACGGGCTCAGTTTCTTACCTGTAGACTAGTCCATATATCACCCTATTCATTTTACAATAAAACTCACATAAAATTTTGTAAGTATTGAAGAATTTAACTATTTCCGGAATCTATTTGGACCAGAAAGAAATTCTTAGATTATATCACCTCATATCACCTCATTTGCTACATTTATTTATTTTATATGTAAAATGAAGCAGTTCGTCCTTACTTTGGTTCTGCATTTTAGATTGAAACAAATAAGTAGTCCTAGAATGTGCTTGTATTTCCCCCTATACCAAACGATAATTACGATATTTTTCTAACAATTGATGGATAGAAGATAGATATTTTTTTTAGTTCCAATAGAGGACCCATTACATGTGGACAAAATCACTACAGTTATTAGTATATTAAACACAAACAATGTAAAAAATATTAAAAAACCCACTTCAAACATGAAATACAATATGAGTTAATAATATAACCATAATATTCAGTGTTAGTTTACCATGCACCAGAAGCAGCATCACATCCATTATGAAATAAGCATATATCAGTTAAGTCCTCCTCATGATTGATGCATATGAACAAATATTATAGTTATCCAGATGCAGGATTCACCAAGAGTAGGTGACACTCAAGCAAATAAACATAGCTAAGCACTTAAAAATACCTGTATGAACCAATTATCATAGAAACTATTAGTCTTCGCGACTGATGCACATTAGGGGCGGATCCAGTCATTTTAAAAAAAGGGGGGGGGGGTCCCAATCCAGCAAAACTGGGGGGGGGGGGGGGGGGGTCCAACTATATGTCCCCATTCAAATGCATTTATGGTAAAAAAAAAAGGGGGTTCCAACAGGGGTAAGGAAACATGGGAATGAGGGGGCGGGAGTCAGGGGCAGGAACCGGGAGAAGAGGTAGAGTAACGATTTTACGAACGATTTCTTCTGGGAATAAGGGGAAAAGGAGTGGAATTAGGGGGGAATTTAGAGTAGAGGGAGGGAAGTAGGAGTTTTGGGGTAGGGAAGTGGGAATCAGAGACCCCCTGTCCACCATTTCATTTATGTGATGTGCATTTTTAAGAAGAACATTCAAGTGACTGTTAAACTTTTGTCGAAAAAATACGTTATATATGTTATCCCCTCAACGGAATAAACTGTACGATGTTATTGTGTTTAGATATGAGGGTATGGGTGGGGCTTACAGAACAGAGAATAATGGATTTAATCTATAGAAAAATGGGCAAAAAATATAAGGAATCAGAGAAAAATGACCAAAAAAAATAAAAGAATACAGTTTTAAAGAAAAGTACCCCATCCAGACCCTCATATACTGTATGTGTAACAGTAAATTCTGTCCGGTAGTAAAATTTGTCCCCCTGCATGACTTTGTTTCCTATGTAATCAAGCCAAAGACCATAATTTTACTAGAAAAGTAAGTCCCATTGCAGGATATTTTATTTTTAGGAAAATAAGTCCTTAGCTAGTAAAATGTGTCTGGCACATATTTTTTACACTCCTTTATATTATTCAAATTTGTTTGATTGACTGATGTTTGCTTAGGGTCTAGTGGCAATGTTTCAGGCATATTGAGGGCAATATTCAAATTTGTATAATGCTCTTCTGAAAATGACTAAATTAAAAAAAAAAAAAAAATATATTTGAATAATGAAAAAGATTTAATTCCAGAGTTACTATAGTCGGTGTTATAAATTCTCTCTTTTTTTTAAGTAACGTTAAAATTTTTAATTCTTAAGACATTCTTTAATAATAATTCAAATTTGTATAATTATTATTATTTCAATAGTAAAATAAAGAAACACAATTTGTAGTTGTAAACATGATAAAGTCTGTGATATTAATTTTCCTTGGAAAAAAAGTCTAGCGTATATATATTTTTAAAAACATCCAAATTTTAATGAAATAATGAAAGATTAATGTACATATGTTAAAAAAAATATTTAAAAGCATAATGATTAAATATTCCATTGTTTACAAGTAAATAAATTCTTTCGGTACAAAGAATTTTCCTGGAAAAAATAAAGGACATGGACATGTTTGCCTAGGAATATTAAGAACATAGACATAAATACCTAGGAATAATACACCTATTATCGCTATTTATTCCATTCCGGATAAGTTCTAAAATTACACAACTTTTTCGTCTAGCCTGGGGTCCTGGCTAATCTTGTCAGTATACGACGCGCAGCTAGATATCGGGCCGGGATGCCAGGCTACTTTTTCGTCCAGTTGAAGCTATCTGGGGCCCTGTTTAACCGAATGCACCCGGCATGGATGATACTTTTAATGAGACCTGTTTAAAACATCGTAAATACTTCAAACAAAATATTTTTTTGACTATAATTTGAGTTTCGAAAAAGTGGATCATAATCTATCAAAGTTTGCTATTGATGGCTTTCTAAATTTTTCCCTCCCTCAGCCAACGGTTCGTTACAGGTGACCTTTGTTGTTTACCCTGTTGACCCAAACAGGAAGTTGTCTAAATGTCATTGATTGTTTTTTCTGGATTGGACTAAATAGCGATAAGGTGTATTGTCTGAGGACACAAATTACTGACATCGTCGACATCGGACTTTAATACTAGTCAAGTCAGACTCTGTAAGATCCTGTAAACCCTGGACTTTTTACATTAGGAATTTGTGTCCACCCGGACATATTTTACCAGGACCAAATTATCTCTTACATAGGATAGTGTGCCATTGACAATGATATAACTCTTATTTTAGTGCGAAAGTTATTAATAGAGCATAGTTATAGCAACACAACCAACACATGTTAACAAAATAATTCGTTTTAAGTTACCTCCCCTTAATTTCCTTGACTAGCCATGTTTTAGTCTATTTTTACAAAATATATCACTCAAAGATATAATAATACAATTTGAATATTTAAATTTAAATCTGAAATGAGGATTATTACTATTATCATTTCAAATTGCAAAATTTTGTTGTATAATGATTAAAAAGGGACCACAGGTAATGATTTATAAATACATATAAATAAAAAAATTGAACAACAATTTTATATTAAAAGCAAACTAAATATAATAAATTTCTACTCGCGCCCACGCCATTACGGTAGGGTCAAATGACACGATGCTAATACGGTTGGGCCTTCATTTATTTCATTAGCCGAAATTTCATTATGTACGTGCACTAGCATTGGACCCTACCGTAATGGCGCAGTGGCGGATCCAGAACTTTTTATAAAAGGGGCCCGCTACAGTCATGCTTCAGTAATTCCCTATGTAATCAACCAAATTTTTCCCATGAAAAGGGGGGCGCCCCCTTCCCGGATCCGCCTATGTGGCGTGGGCGCGAGTAGATTTTTTTTATATTAAGTCCATGTATTGGTTTAGACTAGAACACTCACCAAGTGACTTATTAATAAGTGCATATAAGAATGGGGATCATAAAGTTATTCATCAAAACAATTAAACATTGACCTTTCAATTTGCAAAAATCACAGACCTGCCAACTATCCCGCTTTATGGGGGATATCCCCCATGAGAGGTGTTGACCTGAATTTAGAAACTCTTTATTATATTAATTGAACACCTGAAAACAGACATTCAAATGAGTTAAAAGGATATTTAAGCACCTACATAATCATTCAAACAATATGGTAGAAGATTAAAAACACTTGTGACAATATAAGAGGAGCATAAGGTTCTCTTCTGCTTAAAATCCCCCATGGAGATTTTGAAAAGTTGGCAGGTATGAAATCATAGTAAAACCAAATTCAAAGTACTAATAACTAGAGGCTCTCAAGAGCCTGTGTCGCTCACCTGTATCTACTGTGGTTTCGGAAATCATGTAAAATAAGGTTAAAATCATAATAAACAGTATTAGATACCCTAA